ATGGTCGTTCGCACAATGGGGGATCGATATAGTGGGCTCCTTTCTGCCAGCAACTAGAGAAAGGAAATTTCTAGTGGTAGCAGTCGACTACTTCACGAAATGGGTAGAGGCCAAGCCACTAGTCAAAATTATAGCTCAGAACGTGCAAAACTTCTTTTGGAGAAATATTATATGTAGATTCGTATTGCCAAGAGTTTTGATCTCGGATAACGAAAAACAGTTCGAGGGCATCAAATTTCAAAACTGGTGTGCAGAAATGGGTATAAAGCAAAACTTCTCCTCAGTCGCCCATCCCCAGGCTAATGGTCAAGTCAAGGTAACTAACAGTGCAATCCTCTACGACATCAAAGCTCGCCTTTCCCGAGCTAAATGCTTGTGGGTGGACGAGCTACCCAATGTGTTATGGGCCTATCAAACAACCATCAAAACAGCAACCGGCGAGACGCCCTTCAATCTGACATATGGAACTAAAGCTGTATTACCAACGGAGATGGAAGTACCAACCTTACAATCCGAGACATTCAGTGAAGAAGCTAATGAAGATGACCTAAGGGCCAATATCGACTTAGTGGAAGAAGTTAGAGACCTGGCCTACATTCGGACTGCAACATACCAATAGCGGGTGGCTTGGTACTATAACGCTAGAGTCAAGAAGCACCAATTCAGAGTTGGCGACTTGGTACTTAGAAAAGTTATGGTACTTGAGCCCGGTGTTGGAAAGATAGGCCTAAACTGGGAAGGCCCTTATAGAGTCTCCAAGGTAATAGGTGGAAATGCGTACGAGTTCAAAACACTGGAGGGGAAGGTGGAACCCAAGGCGTAGAGCATAGACAACCTGCTTAAGTACTACCTTTGAGAATAAGTGTTTCGAGCTGCGTCCACAAACTTGTGAAATTTGACCAAGGTATCCAAGCCGACCTACTAACAGCTCGACCAAAAGAACACAAACGATAAGTTTCGAGCAACAACTGTGAAAATTTACTAAGGCATTCAACTGACCTAGAGACAATTCAAACTGAGCTAAATATTAGAAATAGGAAAGAATCCCATCCAAAAGGAAAAGCAGCAGATGTGAAAGGCTAAGTTTCATTAAGAAAAAGAAAGGCCTACGGCCGTACATGTGTGCATAAAAAAAACTAGTGTTACTGAGTCCAGAGATAAAGGGCACGCAGGCATAAAGAAACAACTTACAAGAGTACACAGGCTCTCGGAATCATCAGAAAATCAAAATAACTAGACAGGTCGAGCTATTCTTCATTTTCGCCCTACAGCTTGTCATTGACACCATCGCCCTCCTCGTCCCCTTTCTCGCCATTTTCCTCCTCATCCTCCTCGGGAGTCAAAGGCTCCTCATTAACTTGCATAGGGAGCTCATTTGGTACATCATACACAAAAAGGGAGCCAAAATTGAAGTTAGGGTGCAGTATCTTCAAATAGCGGCGACAAAGCTTATAACCCTTCTTCATCGAAGGAAGGGCGTCCTTTGCTTTCTTCTTCTCATACTTGGGGGACTTCAAGAAACGAGTGACGGCTGCCTCCTCACTTCAGCGGATGTCCTAGGTATACTTCGACCGCCTTTCTTCTGGCTGCCTCCTCTACACTAATATGGATGTCATGCATCTGGGCCTGCAGCGTGTTTTTGCTCACCTGTAACTCACCTCTTTCTTTTTGGCCTACATGAACCTGGTCTAGTAGGACCTGCCCAATGGTGTTTGCCAGCCAAAAAAAGAAAAGCATGATCAGAGCAGAAATCACAGAACCAAAAAGCAATAACCTTGCAAGGAGAAAAACCTAGCCAATGCAATGGGTCAACCGAACTCCGGCTTTGATTGGATAGAAGCCGCGGTAAAACCACACATCCTTAGGTAGTAGCATCCCCCTAGCCATCCGAATAGCTACATGAGGTTCAGTCAAATGATCGAGTACTGAGACATAGACATTAGGAGTAAAGCGAGGAATGTCTGAGGTGTAAGGGTCGACCTTGCATTCCCCTTAGATGACTTGAGGTTGGAAGGCAACAGGACCTGTAGAGTACTAGTCAATACTCATCGGTTCGCTGCATCCCTCAAGGTCGATGACAGGAGTAGGGTGTGGCAACCTCACCTCGGCACTAGCCGAGGTCCCCTCCATCGAGGAACGGCGATTTGCCCTTCGCTTCATCCTTGAAGCCTTCTTCTCCTTGGAAGCCGCCAACATTGAAGCCATACTCACCATATCTGAAAAAGGAAAAAAGAGTCAATTGAGCTAAAAACCAATAAAATATCGAATGCAAGTGCAGATGAATCAAAGATCGACCTACCTATGCGACTCAAGCCGGCCTGTATAAGCATGGGCTCGACCAAAATGTTTTCTATCTCAACCCTCTGACGGACAAATTCTTGAACCGCAACATGCATCTCTTCATCAAAGCCCTCACCGAAGTTCCGACAATTGCTATACTTGATGGTGCTCATTCCCCATCCACCGCTCCTAGAAAGAAAGAAAAACCTACTCTTCCAATCCTTGAATTTATTGGGAAATTTATTTAACACTTTGTAACCAGCTTGGAAAGGAAGGTAGAAATAGAAAGGAGCTCTGGGGGCTTTCTTCATATTATACAAACCAGAAAAGACGTCTAGACTCAAAGGAAAATTGCAGTGGTGGCACAAACTGATCAACCCCACCAAGGTCCAAACTGCATTGGGGGTGAGTTGACCTAAAGAGACACCGTAATACCTCAACACCAAGACAACGAAAGGGTGTAGAGGGAACTGAAGGCCGACGACCAGTGCCTCCTCATAAACATAGACAGCATCCCTCCCATGATTCCAAGGATTTCGTCAGGGCGTGGCTCAATGCAATCATACTCACTAGGGATCTGGTAAGTGTGGTATAACTCCACAATTCGCTCCCCAGAAAGTTCAGTTGAGCCGAAAATAGCCACTGCCCTCTCGACCTCATGCCTCCTCCCTACTAAGGATCCAATGCAGAACTCCCCAACAGAGTCCTCCCCTGAAGAACTCGCCTCATTGTCCAACCTTTAGTCAAATGACCTATTCTTAGAAGGGCTGTGAGACATCGGAAAAAGAAAATTACTCACCAGGAAAAGCAAAGGAGACTGACGACGACAACTAACAGAACCTCGACAAAGTAGATAGGGAACAATACTCGGACAGCGACCTCCTCCGATCGGACACCACCCCAGAAAGCTCCAAAAACAGTGCTGCAAGTGGAGACCCCCCAGTGTGGACCCCATACTTATAATCCACTAGACAAAGGAGTGAATGGTGAAGATGCATCATCAACGAATCAACAACTAGCGACATGCACATGTAACGTTGAATTTAAAACTTGTGCACCTATGGAGCGCGCCTCTTTTCGAAATCGGCGTGCCTGTTGTGCGCACCGCACCTACTTTCGAATTTGAAATTGGCACACCCGTTGTGCGTGCCTCTTTTTGAATTTGAAAATTGAAAAAACCTCCGCGGTCTCGCCCGACCTCAGGCCGAATCAAGAAAGCAAGTCGGGCGCGACCTACGAACCGGTTGGACCAATTACCCTATTGAGAGCTACTCCCTTCACCAAACTGATGTAGGCTCAGGAGTTGGAGGCAATTGATGAGGGGTAATTTGGTCCCACAAATAGCCTCATAACACGTGGCCTTCAAGTAACACCTCGACGCAGGACAAGAGAACCAGCTTGGCAAGTTAGCTCGAGGCACCTCGCCTAGACCGACCTCCACCTCGGTCGGGCCAAACTGTTAGGTCCCCTAACTAGCGGCGACCTATTTCAGAGGCTAGCCGAGTTGTAGGAATCAATGGCGACCTGCGAGGTGAGCCCGCTGACTTGTCCCGACTATGCGTTACTAGCCTGAGGTCTCCAAACATTAATGCCTTGACCGTTAGACTAGCCTACCGCACCGCACGCCTCAGAGTTATTCAGGCTGACCACAACCTCTACGCAAATCTCGTAACCGACATATTAATATGGCCTACTAAGCGGAAACGGTTCCACGGGAAGAGGAGACCTGTTGTAAGAGGGCTTTGACCACTGATACCTATATAAGACACTCATTTCTACCTGTAAAGGTATGTGCGGTTACATACTCTCAACCTCTCTCATTCTCTCAAAGAACTCTCAAAACACTCTTGACTTAAGCATCGGAGTGCCTACCCCGAATAAAGACAACCCGGGCACTCTAACATTCTTTCTTGCAGAATACTTAAGCTCAACCACTTCCAGCTTAGCCCGACATAACTCGACTTTGACAAAAAATCTTCCCAATTAGCGTCCGAATCATCTGACATGAGAACAGCCAGATCGTGCTACATCACTTACCTTTTTTTTATTATAAAGGGGATACTTGCTTTTTGGTGCAGTATAGTCAACTTATACTTTACCCTTTACTTCCACAACCCTTGCCCTTACACTAGTACAAGTTAAGTTATAATGCTTAACTCAGGTGGCTAAGCCAGACCCAGGGTTGAACTGGCCCAGCCCAATATAATTTCATGATAACATGAAGAATAATGTAGTCGTTCTTGGGGTTATTCCACCAAAAGCTATAATTTGTGTAATTAGATTTCAGCCCAATCCCCAATTGTTACTTATTTGAACACATGCCATTCCTCGCTTCTTTCATATTTCTTAATTACTTGTCATGCAAGTTCTATCTCCATAGTATAGTTCTTTGACGAGTTGCTACTTCTTTGATCAAAGAGCCCACTTTAATTGACAAATCCACCAACCCTAATCTTGACGTGTTTGGATAATGGGCCCGTATTCATTTGGATTTTGGATGATACTATGTGGCTTGCAGCTTAAACAAATGTCGCCGGAACAACAAAGTGTGAAAGGAATATTGGGATCGATTTTGTATTACGACGCAAGCAATGGCATCCCTTAAAAGTTAAAACCCTTATCTCTCCTGAAGAATGAGACCCACCATCCCCGCCGCGAATTCCACTATAAATACCCTCTCATCTATCTTGTAACTTATATAGTCGTTTCTTCACCTTTGAGCTCTTCAAAGTGCAAATCTATTTGCAATGGCTGATCAAGTTATTCTCTTGGATTTCTGGCCCAGTTCTTTTGGAATGAGGGTGAGAATTGCCTTGGCGGAGAAGGAGATTCAGTATGAATACAGAGATGAAAATCTTCAGGATAAGAGCCCCATGCTTCTGGAAATGAACCCAGTTCATAAGAAGATCCCTGTTCTGATTCATAATGGAAGACCCATTTGTGAATCCCTCCTCATTGTTCAGTACATTGATGAGGTTTGGAAGGATAAGTCTCCTCTATTACCCTCTGATCCTTACCAGCGTGCTCAAGCCAGGTTCTGGGCTGATTATGTCGACAAGAAGGTGGGTGGCTTCTCTCTCTGTCTCTCTGCCTTTCCATATTTCTTTAATTCTCATCATCACTAGTTCTGAGATGTTATTGACCATTCACTTTTGTTAATAATGCAGATGTACTACTGTATGAGCAGAATATGGAGGAACAAGGGAGAAGAACAAGAAGCAGCCAAAGAGGAGCTCATAGAGAGTCTGAAAGTTTTACAAGGAGAGCTTGGAGAGAAGCCCTACTTCGGGGGTGAGACCTTTGGCTTTGTGGACCTGAGCTTTGTTTCCTTCTACAGCTGGTTTTACTCCACTGAGACCTGTGGGAACTTCAGCATTGAATCTGAGTGCCCAAAGATAGTGGCTTGGGCGAAAAGGTGCATGGAGAGGGAGAGTGTGTCCAAGACTCTTCCCCACCACCACAAGATTTACGAATTTGTATTGCAGCTCAGAAAGAGGCTTGGGATAGAGTAAACTATATATAGACTTCTCTCTGAGCAATATAGTAAATATATAAAGGATTTGATCGTGCATGTACGTACCGAAAATTGGCTGATGTATTTGGCTATGTGAAATAAAAACTTAATTAGGAATTATTGATGTGATGAAGCCATTAATTAGCAGGTTTATATGTATAAGATGAATGTAATAAAGCATCTGTTTTTTTAATGTTTGCTAAAGCAATATAATTACCAGTAGATTTAACTCCCATTTGTATATCGATTTCATGTATTTTTCTTTTTCGTTTTGTCTCCTACGAACAAATTCCATTTCATGTTTGAACTTATGAGCCGCGCCACATCATCTCTGTACATAGTCAAATTTCACGTGACATTTCTTTTGTTTCATTTTTTTTTTTAATTTTATGCAAATTATGTTATGATCAGCCGAGTTAATCTAGGACTAATGGAGCAATTAATTAAATAATCGCTGAATTTTGTTTCAGTTGTTTGTAATCCCCAAATGAGGGGTGTAGTAATCCAAAGTATTGTTGGCTCAATTTATTTTGAAGTTGATGTACATGTTATTATTTGGGCCCACTATCATCCATGTGGATGATACATATGTGTATTGAGTAAAACTGCCACTTGGGCTGGGCTAGTCAGAACAAAAACCCAAAAAGATGGGTTGGATTGAGTTGAAGGTCTGGGTGTGTTGAGAAAGTATGAATCCAACTTGACTTCAGATATAACCAAACCCAAATTTGAGATGTCTATTGCATGCATATATGGATATTATCATATAAATACTATATCTGACGCATGAATATGCATGCTTATAAGAATATGCTTTGGCAATTTTAAATTTAAACACTTGTTATAAGAATATGCTTTATGGAATTTTACTTTTAATCTAATTAAGTAGTATTTATCTATCACATAATATATACTTTAAATGCATCCATCCGTTTTGTCCAATAATAGCCCATATTATGAATTATTGAACAAATTGAAGGTGTCAAAAAAAAAGGTTAAAATGAATTATCTCTTCATCTTCAATCCTAAGCATACCTTGATTTACACTCCTATTTTAGTCATATTTATTTTAAAACCTCTTATTCTATGGTATTTGTAATATAAACTTAATTTGCATTTATTACTTCATTAGTTTTATCAATAAATCAATGCCAACGACAAACAATGTCTCAAAAAAAAATCCTTCTACCCATAGAGCACGGTTTATCACCTATTTATTTGCTTCATTTGGGCTTTTATTTGTAATAATGCCGATTACTCTTTGTTTTATACATAGATGCTTACAAGATCTGGATGGGCAGAAAGATGCTACTTTTGAGGATATCTCGTTTTAAGTTCTCCCAAAGGTATTTCTTCATAGACGAAAACAGTTATTAGTTTGTTACTGATGTGGGGTGACCCAACCCAGCCCAATGGAGGTTGGGAGGTCTAGCCCACGAGTGCTAGATTATGGAACGAGATCCACTACAGCAGGGGTTACCCTGCTTTCTTCGTATGGAACCAACCACAACGTTATCACATGGCCTTGCCAGAACCGTTGATGACCCCCGTGGCTCCCATCTCAGGTGTTCCATCTCCACCTACCTCCAGGCAGGTCAAGTATAAATAGGGGTGCTCCCCTCCTGGTAAAAGGGTTACAATCTCAGGATCCTACAACTATTGTCTAATTGCTATTATGACTCTAGCCTAGAACTAACCACCAGGATCCTCCCCTAGTGCTCTCTCTTCGTACCCTGTACTAACTTGACCGTCGGAGACTTTGCCTCGGCTTTTCACCCGAGGCCCTATGATGAGCTCCTGTCTTGTAGTAGAGATCGACCATCTACCTTCGACTTCTACCATACTCGGAGACCACCCCACCTCGGCCTTAGTAGCATCCTCTCTGAGTTCTCAAAGCCTTCGGCCTACCTTCGGAGTCCAGGGACAAAATTACCTTATTGTCCTCGACCATTCCGAGAGCCAACAATTGGCGCCGTCTGTGGGAATGACACTGATACGTATCCCAAAAAAGAGCTAAAGAAAATTAACTAGTACCCGAGCTCCAACATTTTAACATGGTACGAAGAACGAGAAATACTCAAAATCTCGTAACCAATGAACAGTTCCAAGCCGTGCTCTACCGCCTTAATATTTAACATAGCGAGTTGAGTAGAACCTTCACTAGGTAGGAGGTCGCCCCCAAGGTGACTGCCCCACTAGGGAGTCAACACAGTCGGCCCCCTGCCTCGGCCATGCATAGTGGGCCGAGCCCTCAGCGTTTGGCAGCAATCGCTCGGCCGGCCCACGCTCTGGCATTTTCAGGCCTCCTAGCCGAAGGGAGGACAATTCCAGATCCCTCAGCCGGAGAGTGGGGAACTCTAGACCTCCCAACAAAAGGGAGGAAGAACCAGAACAGTCAGAGGACAGCCACCAACCCTCCGAACAGCATCACTGATGCCGCAAGGCCGACCCGAGGGCCGAGGGCCGAGCCTCTTCCCCTCACATCACAGACCTCTGAAACGTCCTGAACGACCGCCGCGCTAGGCACGAGGCGCACGGCCTCAACTCTAAGCACATTGGAATTCACGTCAAACACCATCACGTCCGCGAAGATCGAGACGGCACCCAGGCCAAGGCCTGACCCCATGTACGCTGAACTGTGAGCCGAGCTCGGTGCAGTCAAGGCCGAACTCAAGCAGGTCAAGGAGGGCTGAACTGACATCTCGGTCAGACAAAGCTCTTGGCAAGGGAGAATGGATACTTTCTCCCCGGATATCATCGTCGAGCCTCTGCCCCCAAACTTCAAGACCCCCGCCTGGGAGATGTACAATGGGAACTCTGACCCGGACGACCACTTAGAGAGCTTCAGGGCACTCATGATCCTATATGGGTACTCCGATGCCTTGACGTGCCGAACTTTCTAGGCAACCTTCAAGGGAGCTGCTCAGCGATGGTTTTCAAGCCTCCCACCTCGATCCATCAATTCGTGGGAGCAATTTTCCAACATGTTCCTCGCATGCTTTATCAAGAGTCGATGCCCTCAGAAGAGGATTGTCTCGCTAATGGCTCTTAAGCAGAAGCGAGGGGAAAGCCTATGGTCATACATTGACTGCTTCAAGAAAGAAGAAATGGAGGTCCGCAACCTCGACACCCTAATCTCCATGCATGCCGCCATCAGTGGGCTCCTCCCCGGCTCGGCCTTCAAATGTTCCGTGGCCAAGAGTTGGCCGAAGACGAAGCTGGAGTTCTTGGAAAGGGCCCAGAAATACATTGCAGTTGAGGAGGCCTTGGCCACGGATGCCTACGAGAGGGCACGGAGCACTGGGATGGAGCCCATGAGAAGAAGAGGAAGAATGGGGACTAGAACCGTAGCAGGAACAACAACAGAAAGCCTTCGGCCCCGGCGTTGGCTTACAACCAATACACACCACTCAACTCCACCCGTACGCAAATTCTAATGCAGATCGGCCTGGAGAAATTTATGAAGTGGCTTGAGAAGTTGAAGAAGAACCCCCGTCGGGGGAATCCCAAGAAATACTACAAGTTTCATCGAGGCACAAGCCACGACACTGAGGATTGTTACGATCTCAAGAATGAGATAGAGTCCCTCATTCGTCGGGGCCACCTCAAGCAATACGTCAGAGCCAAGGCTGACACCTCGTCCCCTCAACAACAGCAATACCACCACCAGCAAGTACCAGGCGTCATTGACATCATAGTGGGAGGCATGACCTCAGGTGGAGCCTAAGCTTCGGCTCGCAAAGCCTACGCCAAGCAGTTGAACATCTAGGGGCCGGTCCCCAAGAAGTTGAAACAAGAAGCCCTCTCCTTCACGGACGAGGACCTGAAGGGGGTAGCAATCCCCCATGACGACACATTGGTGGTTTTGGCCGTCATTGCGAACTTCATAGTCAAGAGGATCCTTGTAGACAGTGGCTCCTCCACCGACATCCTCTTCTACGAGGCTTTTGAGAAGATGAATATAGCTTTAGAATGCCTTTAACCAATAGACGCCCCACTAGTCGGCTTCTCCGGCAGCATCGTCAAGCAAGAGGACAAGATCTCCCTACCAGTCATGAAAGGGACGGAGCCCCAACAGGTGACAAGGATGACAGAGTTCTTGGTCGTGAAAATTGGCTCACCCTACAATCCTATCATGGAATGGCCGATCCTCCATGCACTCCGGGCGGCTATCTCCTCCTACCACCTCGCCTTGAAGTTCCCCACCAAGCATGGCATCGGAGTTGTTCGTGGGGATCAGCACGCTGCCCACTAGTGTTATGTGGTTGCACTGAAGGGCCAGAGCAAAGAGACCCTGCCACTTGAGGGCCTCGACCTCAGAGAGGAGCCAGTGAGCCAAGGTAAACCAGCCAAGGACCTCGTCTCGGTCCCCCTAGACAAGGATGAGCCTGATAGGACCGTCTGTGTTGGGTCCAACTTTCCCCCTGAGAGCCTGTCCGAACTGGTAAGTTTCCTCAAACTTAATGCCAATGTCTTTGCTTGGTCTGTGCTGATATGCCCGGAATTGACCCTTCGGTCATTACACAAAGGCTGAGCGTGGACCCGAGCTCTAGACCGGTTCGGCAGAAGAAGAGGAACTTTGCATCAGACCGTTGGAAGGCCATAGAGGAGGAAGTTGAAAAGTTACTCGATGCCAACTTCTTCCGAGAGGTACACTACCCTAACTAGCTGTCAAATGTGGTAATGGTGAAGAAAGCTAATGGGAAATGGCGGATCTATATTGATTTCACAAACCTTAATCGAGCCTGCCCCAAGGACAGTTTTCCTTTTCCAAGGATAGACTGTATCATTATCATTGATGCCACTGCAGGGTATGGGCTACTCAGATTCATGGATGCCTTATCTGGATACAATCAAATAAAGATGCATCCAGATGATGAAGAGAAGACCTCGTTCATCACAGAGCATGGCACATACTACTATCGTGTGATGCCTTTCGGCCTCAAGAATGTTGGGGCCACTTATCAGCGCCTTGTCAACAAGGTGTTCAAAAACCAGATGGGGAGGAACATCAAAGCCTACGTTGATGATATGGTAGTAAAGAGCCTAAAGGCCGAGACCCACATCTCAGACCTAGCCGAGACATTCAGCACCTTGCGGAGGTATAATATGAAGCTCAACCCCAGCAAGTGTGCCTTCAGCGTTACGACGGGAAAGTTCCTAGGTTTCATCGTCACGTAGAGAGGCATTGAGGCTAAT